CACGGCTAGGCCACGCACCTGTGTGAGTGCTTGGCGATGCGTTGTACCGAGGCCATCCACTTGACTCGGGGGCGTTCGTCGAGTGAGATGGAACCTGCGCCTGTCCATGGAATCGCGCCAAGATCGGATACTTGTCGGCGGTTCAACGGTGTCATGCAACACAGCCCCAATCGTCCTACGGTGCACGATGGGACTACAAAAGCCGGAGGATGATCGAGGTGCGCTGAGCGCGGGCCATACCAGCGTCGACAAGAGTAGAGACGACTTGCCTTCCACACCCAACCACTGCACACTACAGTACGTACGCGCCTCCGCATGTATCGACGCCCTTGCAACCAACATCCATGGCATCCGAAGCGTCGTCCTGCACGCAGGGACAGGGGTGTCTGCTCGCGGCCAGGTCGCCGACCGCAAAGCTATCACGATCATTCTTCAAGCTACAGGCTTGCTCGCAAGCCAAGCCCTAATGGTATTACGCGGGGCCCCTTGCCTTCAACGGTTCGATCCTCGTCGCGCGGGTGCAACGAGTGAGTTTCACAGCCCGGCCATTATAAGGGGCTTCAGACGTATCATCAATAGGATGTGTACAATGTACGCTCCCCCACAGTACACGCTGCGTCTATCGCGCGCAGTCTTCTTTGTCTCTTAGAGCCATACACAGCACACCATAGAACTTTACAAGTGTCACGAGAGACTGCCACGTCATGGAGGCAGTGCTCATAGCGGATGCTCTGGTGGCGCATCCGGGAGTCGGCCACTGTCCAATACAAAAGTCGCGCGCTCCAGCGAGCGCAAGACCTTGGCAAGCGCGGTAGTGAGGTCCATGCTCGAGTCGTGCGCGATGATGCGTCCATCGTCGTCAAAGGAATAGACGGACGTCTGCGGGATCTCCATGGTGTGTCCGATGAGCTCCTGGACGAGGACCTCGTCGTGGAGGATGTGCGGAAAGTACAGCGCCAGCGACTCGCGCGTCATGCGCTGCTGCACAGCGAGCCGCAGCGTGCACGCGAGCGGCCTCTCGCCGTCAGCCAGCACGACGTCGCAAGAGACGAACCGCATGACAAAGCTTGAGATCGTTGACGAGTGGCGCTGGAAGATGCGAATAAACGTGTCGAGCGAGTAGAAGCCTTGAAAGACCATAGCCGGGTCCATGATGGCGCGGAGGAAGCGCTCTTGCGTGCCAGCCATGGCTGCGTCATGCAGATGGAAGCCATGTGCAAACATGCGTACGTACTCGCGCATGAGCCGCTCCGACCGCGTCTCGTTCATCGCGATCGACTGCGATAGCATCTCGGAGAGGACGTCCCGCCTGCCCTCGAGGCGAGCGAGTTCATAAGAGAGCCCTTCGACCTCGTCCGTGAGGCTTGTCGTGCGCGACTTCTGCCGGGCCACGTACGCGCGTTGAGCCCGCGACCGGCGGCGGTGGTAGTGGTCCAGGTACTCGGCCGACGTTGGTCGCATTGTACTGTGGTGGAAATTAAATTTTTGACCCATGGAAAAATAAAATTGGAATCGTTCCCTGGCGCTGGACACTGCGCCGGACCGAGACTCTCACCGTCATCACTCTCATCACCCTCTCACACCAGCACTCTCGCTTCGTTCGCGGCAGGTGCCGAAATTAAGATGTTTTAAACACGACTTGTAACGATTCGTGTTTTAAACACGCTGCCGTTGGAGGAATAAGCCGCCGAGTCCAACCATGAGCTACGTGACGCCGAAGAAGGAGACGCGCGGGGGCGCCAAGGACAAGCGCAAGCACAAGCCGTCGGGCGCGACGCCAGTGCCCGAGAAGAAGAAGCCCGGCTCGCGCACGGTCAACATCTCGGACACGCTCACGATCGAGTTCACGGACCCCGACGACGACGACGACGAGTCGCCGATTGTCAAGCCGGCAAAGACGTTAGCCTCACCAGCATCCACAGCTGCCGCCATTGTCGATACGCCGCTGCCGCGCAGCAACCGCAAGACCCGGCGCGACATGCGGCGCTTGAGCGACAAGATGGAAACGGTCAAGGTCGACCCGACGGCGACGCCGTCTGCCACCCCAGCAAGGCAGCGCAGCCGATCGTGCTCGAGGCCAAGCCAGACGCTCCATCATCGAAAGCGTCGGCGCTGCCACCGACGCAAGTGCTCAAGGTACACGCTGCGATATCATCGACTCGTTGGTGGATGCTTGTCGTGCGGTAGATATTGACCGAGGTGTTTGCCGAGGTCGAGCGCGACGACCGCGCCATGTACAAGGTCAACCCGGACGTCATTCGCGAAGAGACGTCGCAGTGCGCCAAGTCGAGCCTCGTCGAGAAGACGAGCGCCGCCGACCTCAAGCGCCTCCTCACGTACGGCGAGGTGCTCCCGGATGCATTCACGGACACGATCATGCCCTTCTTGGCGCTCGAACCGTCGGATGTCTTCTACGACTTGGGCTGCGGCACGGGCAAGATCATCGTCCAGGTCGCGCTCGAGACGGGGCTCCGCGACGCGCGGGGCATCGAGCTCATGCTCAACCGCGTCGTCGAGGGCCAGCGCGCGCTGGACCGGCTCCGCGCCACGTATCCCGAGCACGT